CATGAGCAAAACAACAGGTGTGTCAAAGGGGACGGAGGAGTCAAGGGCTGACTGAAAACTGTTTAATGAGAATCATAAATCATCATAAAATAATAATCATATTTTGAAGTTATTAGTATTTGTTAATCTTTTGTATCATTTAGCCTATCTTCTATGATTCCAAAACAATTACATGCTTGTGAAGCATGATTAGAATATCTTAGGCACTGTGCAGGCCATCTTGGAAATGACAACCCTATTGGATGTTTTTCAAATGGCCTTATCACTTCTGAAATATTCATGCTTTTTTGCCAAAAGTGCAGACTCCACAGCATATTATGTACCCTTTTCTCGGACTATATGGGTAATGTGAGCGGTTCAACATACTTGATCCTTGACAATGGCAGCCTCGATGTTCCTAGAGTTGATGTCAGCGAGGGTACTAACATTTGACATCCTGTCTTCACAGCGGACGTTGAGGATGGATAGAAGATTACTGTACGTTGGTGAAAACTCTCAAGCACCTCGGGATGTCGCCAGATTCACTACCCAAAAGGGTCCTGATATTCCATGCAGCAACCATAAGAGGTTGTGTAGTCTGTTGTGATCTATTGTAATGTTTCTGACCATGTTGGAGGATGACTTATTGGGGGTAGCTGCTAAGTCAGGATAGTAGTAGTAGTAGTAGTAGGCAGGCTATGATTAAGGCAAGGTCAGCACAGAGATAACCGGGATTCACTGCTGATTATATCCCAGCGCAGAGACACCTGACCGCAGAGTTGTGACAAGGGATTCCTAACAGTCATCTCTGCCTGGCCCCGTCGCTACTGTCTGTTGTTGGGAGACTTTTTGGAGATTTGTGATAATAATGCTGAGAGCGCGACAGGTTGAATGATATCTATATGTGAACTGATATAATTACGGAAGCAGGGGCGCCGACTGCAACCACACATGTTGGCTCCACTCTTTCCTGATTCAGTGATACAGATAGCTGCAACAACCGAGAAGAGGTGAATGGACTGCCAATGGCCAAGTATGTTGGGTCAGCCTTAGTACAGTAGCACGTCCCTTGTACATTGTCTTCAACTCATCAATGTAGCTGTTCCCATGATGGTCACCTCTGCTGACTATTCCATCTTGAGGTCTTACTAGAGCTTTTGCTGCTGCACAAACTTGTGTTACCCAGGGAGCTTGACTACACAGGTTACCGAACACGCTCGCACGCACGCATTTATAAAAACCTACACAAGTATAGTTACCATTATAGAAATAAAGTTGTCCCTGGACTGGAAAGCTTATGCAGAGATACAGAGCGGAGGGGTGAGGGAGAGGAGGGGGGTTGTTTAATGATTGCCGGGGCCTGAAGGAGGTGTTTCGTGCTCTCTCCTGAATATACACTTTGTTTATTCTTATTTATTCTTTAGTGTATTGTCGTTCTGCAGTTTGTTAAACACCTCGCAGTGTTTTCATACAAGCACAAGGTCTGCCCCCTTTCCCCACCTTCACCACTTTTGTCATAGTTCATAACCAAGACATATCTCACTTCCTATCTCTCACACCCTACCCTCTCACACACCCTACCCCTGTCACTCCCTACCCCTCTCTCCACCTCCTACCCCTCTCTCACATTCCCTACCCCCCCTCACACTCCTTACCCCTCTCACCTCTCTACCCCTCTCTCACACCTCCCTCTCTCACACACTCCTACCCCTCTCTCACGCACTCCCTACCCCTCTCTCACACTCCCTACCCCTCTCTCACACACTCCCTCTCTCACACACCCCTACCCCTCTCTCCACACACTCCCTACCCCTCTCTCTCTCCCTCTCCTCTCTCACACTCCCTACCCCTCTCTCTTACTCCTCTACCCTCGCACACTCCTACCCCTCTCTCTCACACTCCCTACCCCTCTCTCTCACATCCCTACCCCTCTCTCACACTCCCTACCCCTCTCTCACACTCCTACCCCTCTCACACACTCCCTACCCCTCTCACACTCCCCTACCCCTCTCCCCTCCCTACCCCTCTCTCACCTCCTACCCCTCTCTCACACTCCCTACCCCTCTCTCACACCCTACCCACCTCTCACACACTCCCTACCCCCTCTCTCACACACTCCCTACCCCTCTCTCACACACACTCTACCCCTCTCTCACACACTCCCTACCCCTCTCTCACACTCTACCCCCTCTCTCACACTCCCTACCTCTCTCCCCTCCCTCCTCTCACACTCCCTACCCTCTCTCTCCACACTCCCCTACCCCTCTCTCTCACTCCTACCCCTCTCTCTCTCCTCCCTACCCTCTCCTCACTCCTACCCCTCTCTCTCACACTCCCTACCCCTCTCTCTCACCTCCCTACCCCTCTCTCCACCTCCTACCCCTCTCTCTCACACTCCCTATCCCTCTCTCACTCCCTATCCCTCTCTCTCTCACACTCCCTACCCCCTCTCTCACACTCCCTACCCCTCTCTCTCACCACTCCCTCTCACACCCTTCTACCCCTCTCTCACACACTCCCTACCCTCTCTCTCACACTCCCTACCCCTCTCTCTCACACTCCCTACCCTCTCTCACACTCCTACCTCTCTCTCACACTCCCTACCCCTCTCTCTCACACTCCTATCCCTCTCTCACACTCCCTACCCCTCTCTCTCACTCCCATACCCCTCTCTCTCACACTCCCCTACCCCTCTCTCTCACACTCCCCTACCCTCTCTCACACACTCCCTACCCCTCTCTCACACTCCCTACCCCTCTCTCACACACTCCCTACCCCTCTACACTCCTCCCTCTCTCTCACACTCCCACCCTCTCTCTCACACTCCCTATCCCTCTCTCCCACTCCCTACCCCTCTCCTCACACTCCTCCCTCTCTCACACACTCCCTACCCTCTCTCACACACCTCCCTACCCCTCTCTCACACTCCCTACCCTTCTCACACACTCCTACCCCTCTCTCCCTCCCTACCCCCTCTCTCCTCCCCACCCTCTCTCACACTCCCTACCCCTCTCTCACACTCCCTACCCCTCTCTCACACTCCCTACCCCTCTCTCACACTCCCTACCCCTCTCTCACCCTCCTATACACACTATCCTCCCCCTTACACCCTCCTATACACACTATCCTCTCCCTTACAAACTCCTACACACCCCTTCCACACCTTTACACCTCCCTATATACCCCTCCCCGTACACCCCTCCCCCTTACTCCTCTTACACACCCCTCCCCCTTACTCCTCTTACACACCCCTCCCTCACCCTTACACCTCCCTCCCTCCTCCCCCCATTACACCTACACACTCCATAATAACATAGGGAGACTATTGATAAACACTGGTTGTCGTAATTCACCTCCAGGGCAGCAGCACAAAGGTCCGTCTCGCCACATGAACCTTCGAACTACAGGCAGTAACAATGCGAGGTATGATGATAACGATAACAAAAGTAATAATGATAGTTAATGATGATGTAGATAATAATAATACAGTAGTAATGGTACTAAACACAATGACAATGATATTACAACCACTAATATTATGTAATGATGATAATAATGATTATAACATTGGTGGTGATACGAGTGTTGAAGGATACGGAGAAGTGTGGAGGAGGAGGAGGGGGAGGAGCAGGAGGGGGAGGAGCAGGAGGGGGAGGAGCAGGAGGGGGAGGAGCAGGAGGGGGAAGGGAGGAGGAGGAAAAATAGAAAAGAAGAAAACAGCAACAAAACATCAACAACAATACAAAGAATTTTAAAGTTGTTTCACTGTCACAATAGCCTACCGTTATAATAGTCTACAGTCACAATAGCCTACCGTTACAATAGCCTACCGTTACAATAGCCTACCGTTATAATAGCCTACTGTCACAATAGCCTACCGTTACAATAGCCTACAGTCACAATAGCCTACAGTCACAATAGCCCACAGACATAGTAGCCCATAGAAGCTCACAGATCCCACAGTAGCCCAGAGAAGCCCGCAGCAGCCAACAGTAGCCAAGAGAAGCCCGCAGCAGCCAACAGTAGCCAGAAGCCTGCAGCAGCCAACAGTAGCCCAGCACGCTCACAGATCCACAGTAGCCCAGAAGCTGCAGCAGCCAACAGCCCAGACGCTCACAGATCCACAGTAGCCCAGAGAAGCCCGCAGAGCCAACAGTAGCCTATAGACGCTCACAGATCCCACAGTAGCCCAGAGAAGCCTGCAGCAGCCAACAGTAGCCCAGAGAAGCCCTCAGCATCCAACAGTAGCCCAGAGAAGCCCCCAGCATCCAACAGGAGCCCAGAGAAGCCTGCAGCAGCCACAGGAGCCCAGAGAAGCCTGCAGCAGCCAACAGTAGCCCAGAGAAGCCTGCAGCAGCCAACACAGCCAAGAGAAGCCCGCAGCATCCAACAATAGCCCAGAGAAGCCCGCAGCAGCCAACAGTAGCCCCACAGACACAGTAGCGCAGACATAGTTGTCCAGACACACTCGCTCACAGTAGCCATGAGTAGCTTACGATAGCCCCAGTAGCCCACAGACAGAGTAGCCCATAGACAGAGTATCTCATAGAAGCCCAAATTAACCAACAGAAACCCATAGTAGCCCAAACATAGTAGTCCACAGATACAGTAGCCCACAGAACCCCAGTCATAGCAGCCCATAGTCACAGTAGCTTGCAGTAGTCTACAAACACAATAGCCCACAGACACAGCAGCCCACAGACACAGCAGCCCGCAGACACAACAGCCCACAGCAGCCCACCCTTCACCACCACCGTCTCTTGCTTCTCCTTCACCTCCTCTAGGTTGTGTTGTTTAATAGGTTGAGGACGAGCAGTACTCAGTCTTAGAGATCAAGGAGGAGGTAAATATTCACCCTAGAAGTTGAGAAGAGGAGGTACTCAGACTCAAGGATGAGATTAGATGTGCTTTTCACTCTAGGGGTCGAGGAGAAGGTGGTTTCTATTCTTGAGGGTGAGGGAAACGTAGCACTCATACTCGATGTTGAAGGAACGTAAGGTCAAGATGGAGGATGTACTCACCCTTGAGGTTGAGAGGGTCGTCCACCTGGAGGATGACCTTCCCTGTGATGGTCTGCTGGGAGAAGTACACAGCTCCGGGTGCATCAAACTTGATTTCGAACCTCTCAGGCCGGAGCATGGGTGTATCTGTGGGTGTAGAAGGTGGGTGAGTGGGTGTATCTGTAGAGGGGAGTGTGTGTATCTGTAGGTGTAGAGGGTGGCGAGTGGGTTTATCTGTGGGTGTAGAGGGTGGGTGAGTGGGCGTATCTGTGGGTGTAGAGGATGGTTAGTGGGTGTATGTATGGATGTAGAGGGTATTCAGTGGGTGTATGCATGGGTGTAGAAGGTATCCAGTGGGTGTATGCATGGGTTATAGAATATACAGTAAGACCATTATAGATTACAGTACGTGTGGTAATACAGAATCAAGGTTTATCGTATCCCTATTCGATACAGCGGGGAATTTTTAGTCGTTTACTCGTAGTATCGTGTGCTATCGTAAAGTTATCGTTAACTTCAACAACTTGTCCTCAACGACCCAGGATCTATTGGGCCCCAGGTCTAATAGCCACAGGACTACTAGGTCTCAGTTCTAATGGGTCTCAATTGTAAGGGCCATAATCTGATTATTTGGATTACATAAAGTTGGATTAATACTTCGGCCCCACCATCTACAGTCAGACTCACCTTCCAGTTTCTCCACATAGCTGCAGTTCCTCGTCTTTGTTTCATCTCGTTTAAGTTTATCGGCGTAGAAATTATTATATAAAACCACACTCATCAGACACAGCGTGGGGAACGTCATTGAAGCCAACACGGTGTTTGGCAGAACATAGTGACCTGTCCGCCAGACGCTTATCGCCCGGGTCTTAGGTAAATTGACGTTATAGCAACAGCTTCAGTTATTGAGACGAAGTAAAAAATTAAAAGGATACAGCTTATTGTAACATGTAACTCACAAACAAATAATAATAATAATGAGCAACTCGGGTGCTAGTTAAAAGTTATTTAAGGCTCGTGCAGTACAACAGGGAGTGTACTTGCGGTCCTCATTCGTACACACATACACATTCATCGAGTTACTCTATACCTGTATACGAAATGCATAACTTTTCGAAGTTAATCGCAAACCGTCTGGTGAATAAGTTAAAATTTGCACATCACAAGGACCAGAGAATAAGAAGCACTACCGCCAGCCCGCGACACGAGGTGACCACAACATAAGAACTCTGCGGCCGCCACCACCCACAGTTCACTACTGGGCGACGTTCGGCCAGCCACACCTCCTCCCCCCCCCCCATAATGAATAGATTTCTCTGGAGGTGATGTGTATTGAATGATTTAATGCCATAGTCCTGTTTTTATAGTGTGTTGGTATTCGCCAGCAAGTTTATATGCTAGTGGCTGGCGTCCTGCATGATTCAAATGTGCACTTGTCATTTGTTATTGGTAATGAAAATTTAGAACATATTGAGCTGGGAGAAGCCTAAGTATTGGATATGTCTGAATAATGACTAAGAAGTAAGATTCATTTTCTGAAGCAATAATTGGGCTTTGGTCACTACTGAGTCATCACAAACACACAAGACGGTTCTTCGTGAAAAAAAAATAGAAATTAGTTCTAAGGACCAAATTTTAAATGTGGTTAAGTGAAATTAATTCCTCGTGAAGTATTATTTTTATGAAAGTAATTTATTTTCATTATTTGTCTAATATATTCCATGTGTCGATAAATGTACGCTGACATGAGTATGACTGAACAAATTCTATGTGTATTTCAGAAGTATCTACCGTCATGATTAAGGGTGCGGTGGTCGAGTGAATACAGCGCTCTCAACCTGTCATAAGTTTCGTTGGTCCGATTCCAGGGCGTTCCCATTCTATTCAGCGGTGGAGTGCAGTGCGGGCCCAGCTGCCTCTTTGCGTACCGAAGGCTTAGTATAACTCAATAGTAAGAAACCAAACCTCAAAATTCCCTGTGAGCAACAGTGTAGAATACTACTAGGAACATCCTTTGTGAGCAGCGAGAAGTACAGTATATATAAAAAAAAGAGTCCTTGTGAGCAGTGCAAGCAAGTCGATATATCAATGTTCAGGTCTTGTGTGTGTGTGTGTGTGTGCGGACTGCGTAATAGTAAAATTCCTGTTGGATATTTTTACATTATCGACCGACAATAAGAGTGGCAATGACAATTGACAGTCGGGTGAGACGGAACATGATCGACACATTTGACACTTTGTTAAGTAGGCGTATCAGAGGTTCAAAGTTGCCGTGACACTTTATAGTGTGTGTGTGTGTGTGTGTGTGTGTGTGTGTGTGTGTGTGCTTCTTCAAATTCTTCTACGAAGTCGATGGGAAAGGGGGCTGGTAGGTAGACAGGGAGACTGGTTGTGTCAAGCCGGGGGAGCGTCTGGCATATAGTTGCGAAATGGTTGTTTGATTGCTCAGCTGCGTCACCATTAGTGAGATGGCTAAGGAAGGAGAGGGAGTGTGTCTTATTGTTTAGTCCACAGAGTTCTTTAGGTTTACCATATCACTGACTGATGTTGGTCTGCTTCAGGTGTTGCAACTTGGTTGGGTAGTGGGATTTCTTTGCGGTGAGTATTTCACGGATGACTTGGTTGCGAAGGGACCTGTAGCGGTTGTGGTCATTGAGATAAAAGGCGCTGTCTCTCTGTTGCATAAGTCTTTTGATCCGAGGTGTGATCTGACGGACTTCTCGGGGAAGAAGTGGTGGTAAGCTTCCGTGGTGGTGTTGGTATAATTTATCCATTTGGTGATCACGTCATCCACACTGAGTACTTCAGTCCAGGGATGGTGAACTATCCACTGCCCGAAGAGACTCACTGCAGAGTCAGTAATCGGCCTGTAGGTTTTGATGTAGGGTCTCTGTACTTGGCTGGTAGTGGGAGCTGGAGACCAGAACACTGATAGGTGTGTATTACACCCGATAGGAGGCATTGGTTGAGGTGGTTGGTACTGGTCCGCTAAGTCAGTTAAAATAATGTCAGGAGTATTTTGACTGTGTGTGTGTGTGTGGAAGTTTACTACTTGTGATAGTAGCAGCTGGTCCTGGATATCGGTGGTGTCAATTTCGTTACAGTCCCCGCATAGTAATAGCTTGGCACATGGGTACCTAACTCTGATGTGGTCTGAGGCCTTGGTTTAGGTCATTATAAAATGACCTGTGCCCGTTTGGGTTAATGCCCCCCACCCTCAAGGAAAAAAACTCCTTCACGCTGTCGTAGGCAGGAGCCCCACTGGTCCTCTGACAAATTTTAAGTAAGTTTTAAGGTGGTATTCTCTTTTTAAAATATAATACAGTAATGATAATAACAACAGTAATCTTTCTTGACTCGTTAACAAAAAAACGTTGTTCCCTGACAGCCACTTTAACGTTGTTGGCTTACAGGCACTAAAACCTCTTGGCTGACAGGCACTAAAAAAGTTGTTGGCTGACAAGCACTATAACGTTGCTCCCAGACAGCCACTAACTAAAACGTTTTTGGCTGACAAGCACTATAACGTTGCTCCCTGACAGCCACTATAACGTTGTTGGCTGATAGCAACTAAAACGTTTTTGGCTGACAAGCACTATAACGTTGCTCCCTGCCAGTCACAATAATGTTGTTGGCTGATAGCAACTAAAAAGTTGTTGGCTGACAAGCACTGTAACATTGCTCCCTGACAGCCACTATAACGCTGTTGCCTGACAGCCACTATAACGTTGTAGACTGACAGGCACTATAACGCTATTGCTGGTAATCACTAAATGTTGTTGCCTGACAGCCACTAAAACTATCTTGCCTGACAGCCACTATAATATTCTTGCCTGACAGCCACTAAAACGTTGCTGCTTGAGTCAATAAAATGTTGCTGCTTGATAGGCACTAAAACGTTGTTATCTGACAGCCACTAAAGCGTTGTTGCCTGACAGCTGCTAAATAGTTGCCTGACATGCACTAAAAATTGTCAACTCCGACAGTTAAGTTCCATTGACTTAATGATAATAAACGCTGTTGCCTCTCAAACATTAAAGCAGATGTTGACTGACAGTAAATATTTGAATATAAACTTACCCCAGTCTGTGAGTTGCAGCTTCCTCACTGCTTGCTGCCATCTTGCCTTCATCTTCATGTTCCGCGGCGCCAACTGCCTCACAGCCGGTGTGGCAGAAGGTGTGGCAGTAGTTGTGGCAGAGGGCCTGGCAGTAGATGTGGAAGGGAACCTGCCAGTTTGGATAGCAGAGATCGTAGCAATCAGCTTGGTAGAGGGCCCGGCACAACTTGTGGCAGAGGACCTGGCGGATGGTGTGGCACAGGTCTTGGCAGATGGTGTGACAGAGGGCCTGACGGATGGTGTGGCAGAGGGCTTGACGGATGGTGTGGTAGAAGGTGAAGTATGCAGCTCTGGAGAGGTCGAGACTGTCGGCGTGGCAGGGAGCGTGACAAACGACGTGGTAAACGACTTGGTAGAGGGCCTGGCAAGTGGTGTGGCAGAAGGAGTGGCAGTGGGCGTGGTGGACGCTCCCCTGTACATCTGGTGTTCATGTCCCCTTCCACACTCGCCTCCTCCTATACCACTCCTACGCCTCCCTCACATACTCCTTCTGTGTACTGGGTGCACCACAGTGGTCGTCTGGTAATATTGTGTCGTGTTTACTTGATCCTCTGACATCATCACTCAGGTACTGTCACAGTTTCACCACGTTATTCCCGGCATTAACACGGCCTAGTGTACCTGTATAAGCTCTTTACTTGTCCCACTAGCGCTTACGTCAATTACGTTTCTTTAGCACATACGTCACTAATGTCCGTTCCTTTAACACTTGTTACACGTATTTTCTTTTTTTTAGCACTGACTCACTTGCTTATAACTTATTACAGCCTTTTCATCGGTGATTGCCTAATTCTGTGGCAATTGTTTCCGACACTTACTGTACATGTTATTGTTGCACTGTTCTTCCAGCACTAAATTATTCCTATCGCACTTCCATTAGGCACTTACATATTTTCTTGTACTTGTATATGTTACTTACATGTCCTGTATTGTGTTACATTCAACCAGTATTTACACGTTCTTGGTTTCGTTTCATCCAGCCCTTACATGACTTCGAGTTAGTTCCATGAATAACCTTCATGTTCTTCGACACCTACATGGCACTAATACCTGGCACAGACGAGAAGGCACTATGAGGAGAATGATGATTCCCATTGTCATGGAGGAGGTTGAGTGTGTTGCATGACCCTGACATAGACATTTCTCACAGTGTCTCTCAACACCACTGACCTTGACTTAGGTTACCATGTTCATGAAACTGCTTTGTCTTATATATTTCTCTTAATATCCTGTAATACGTATCTTACTTCTTCCATATCCGTTGAGACAGTTTGTATGTAAGCACAAACACAGCGTCTGAAAGGGAATGAAAAGAATAAATTAGATATATTAGATGTAAAGATATATTAGATGTAACAATTCTGAATAAAAAAATATTCAAATACACCCAGAATACCCCACAACTGTACATACTCATATTAACTTGGAAAGTGTGCGAAACAAAATGACACCACGAATGAAGATTTTTCATAAAGTCCCATGAGTCATACTGTTGCTCGCCAATCATAATGCAACGAATTAATTTTATATTTTGAATGAAATAAAAAAGTTAAGCCCACAATTATAGGTAGGAAATGTCTCACAATCACACCCGCCAACCCCAGCGAGACAACAGGATTGTTGAGTTCCAAATTTCTAGGACCCGTCCTGAAGTTACTTTTATTACCGGTACATCTACGGGTCACGGTGACTAGAATAAATAATACGTCTTCTCAGGGTTATTTGAGCTCATTTGAAACGAATCAAACAGACATTATAAGTAAAACGGCAGAAAAACACACAGACGGCACAGGTGATGACATCTACCCCGGTGGTTAAGACGACAACGGGTGTCTTAGGGAAAGGTTCTTCACAATGTACAGTAGTGGAGCCTTAAGTCCCTCACGTGAACAACAATGTGACGAGAGGCGGGAGAGGAAAGATACTGAATGGAGGGGTAGGGAGATAGTGAGGAGAGCGAAGGGGGGAATTGCAAGGGGAAGTAGTAAAGGGAGGGGAGGTAATGAGGGATAAGGAAGGAGGTAGTGAGGGGAAGGAAGGTAAGAGACACCATAGGTCAGCCTCAGTAGTCCGAGGGTCTGATAGTGTCATGTCAATATATGTGTGTGTGTGTGTTCACTCTCTAATGGAGAATATATGGGAAAAGGAGGAAATCCCCAAGCTCTTAAAGACGCCTCTATCGTCAATATTTATAAGAACAAGGGAGACCGGTCAGACTGGAGCAACTACCGCGGGATCTCGCTGCTGTCCGTAGCTGGCAAGATTATCGCCCGAGACCTCCTAAGCAGACTTCTTCCTGAGGCGGGAAACTTCCTCCCAGAATAGCAATGTGGCTTTAGACCATCACCTGGCACCACTGACATGATCTTTGCTGCCCGGCAGATACAGGAAAAGTGCAGAGAATAGCATCGTGACCTGTACATGGCTTTCATCGACCTAATCAAGGCCTTCGACTCGGTCAGCAGGGAAGCCCTCTGGTGGACCCTCAGCCGTTTTGGCTGCCCCCTAAAAAATTCATAGCCATTGTAAGACACTCTTACCATCTATCTTATATATATATATATATATATATATATATATATATATATATATATATATATATATATAATATACATACATACATACTACATACATGCATGCAATGCATATATATATATATATATATATATATATATATATATATATATATATATATATATATATATATATTCAATTTTAATCTTTTTATTTTTTTATTTCTTTTTATTATTATTATTATTATTATTATTATTATTAATACAGTGTTATTATCATTCTTTATCATTATTATTTTAGTTATTTTTAATTGCGAATTTTTTTTTATAAAATTTATTTACTATGAATTATTATTATTATTATTATTATTATTATTATTATTATTATTATTATTATTATTATTACATTTTCGCCCCCCAGACCCCGATGTGGGTCAGTGACCTGTGCCCGGGTGGGCTAATCTCTGTAGAAAAAAAATCCACGATGGCATGAATGGCAGTGTCCTGCACAATGGCACCCAGTCTGAGTTCTTCCCCATTCAAACGGGGTTTAAACGTGGGTGAGTACTGGCACCAACTCTCTTTTTCCATTTTCTTGGCTGCCTTCCTTACTCGTGCCAGTGGCAATTTAGCCGGCGGGGTGAACATCGAGTACCGAATGAAAGGTTTTTCTCAACATAAGACGACTCCAGGCAAGAACAAAGGTGTCGGCAGCTTCCATTACTAAACTTCAGCATGCAGACGACCTCACTCTTGTTGCTCACACTGAACGCGACCTGCAGGAGATCCTGAACACCTACGCAGATGCGTATGCACACTTCGGCCTTGAGGTGAATGTACGTAATACTCAAGATTCTCTTTCAACCTGGCCCTGGTTCAGACACACCTCTACCATCCATCCATCTTAACGGTACTACATGTACCCTCTCTAATGTTACCCACTTTTGTTATTTCGGCTTACAACTGTCCACCACCGCTTACATCGATGAAGAGATTCACGCCCGTATTATAAAACAACATCTTCCCTTGAAGAGGTTCGTCGTATTTCAACCCGAGTTTTAAACCAAATGAGTCCTGAGGGACACCGCAGTACTGTACTCAACGGGTGGTGTGGCGGTCAAATTAACTAATTCCAATAAAATTAATTTATAGTGTTAGAATTAGTTAATTTTACCGCCACACCACCCGTTAAGTACAGTAGTGTCCCTCAGGACTCATTTAGTTTAAAACTCGGGTTGAAATGCGATGACCCTCTTCAAGGGAAGATGTTATTTAATACGGGCGTCAGCCTCGGATCAAATGTGCATCTCAAGCCTTTGACAAACTCCGAAACCGTGTCTTCAGCTGTAGGGAGCGGAAATTATATACAAAGTTATTCGTATATCGAGCAGTGGTCCTCCCCACCCTGCTATATGGCAGCGAAACAAGGGTCACATACAGGAGGCACCTCAAGGCGCTTGAAAACTTTCACCAACGTAGTCTACGTTCCATCCGCCGAGTTCGCTGGGAAGACAAGAGAACAAATGCCAGCATTCTTGCTGACACCAACTGTAGGAGCATCGAGGCTATCATTATCCATGAACAACTACGCTGGACTGGCCATGTTACCCGCATGGACGACAGTAGACTGCCAAAGCAGCTACTTTACAGTCACCGAACGAATAGTAAACGTAACGCTGGCGGGCAACTGAAAAGGTATAAGGATAGTCTTAAGACAACCCTGAAAAAGTGCCAAATCGACCCCTCACCTGGGAGACGATTATTCCACATCATAACGCTTGGAGGAGCTCCACACTAGAAGGTGTCAATACCTTCGAGTTAGCCCGACTGCAAACCGAGGCAGACCAGCGCCAACGCCGGAAAGACGCACTCGATGTAACCCTCCACGTGTGGTAGTGTGTGTGTGTGGGTGGTAGTTTGTGCGCGCGTTTATGTGTACGTACACTTGTATGCTATTAGTATCTTTATCTTTCAAGAACTCATTATCCTCCACTCTCTCATTGTATCTAAGTGTACCTTACTTAACTCCTACACCCAGAGCCAGAACGTCTTCCCAGTAACACTTACATAAATTACCGTTGGGTGGAAGAAACTTGCTGTCACCGGGGTGGCAGCTGGTCATGTTGTTTGGGTGAAGCTTTTGTGTTTATTCATACCGTAAACAGAAGAGCGTTGTGTGTGTGTTCAGGGACGTCTTATACAATATCCCCACTACCTACCGCTGCTGCTGTCCGCGTGTCCTTGAGCCACAATAGTCTAGTAGCTTAATGCTCCAAAGAGGCATGTTTATGTATTTTTCTTTACGAGTATCATATTTGGCACACACATACATATTGACAATACAAGTATTTTGCTGGGTGGAAGCACTCTGCTACGTACTGCCCCTTGGTGGCAGATGGAGCCACCTACAGGTACGCCGCTATAACGACTCACAAGGTTTTACTAAATCGTCCATATCTCAGCTTCTACTCAATATTTTTTCACTCTGCTTTCAAATATAGACTCCAAAGAAGATGCTCCAGAATAATTTTAATAATCATGAGGTGAATTGAGCATTATTTTCTGTGGATATTTATAAAAAAATTGAAAAATTATTAAAAACCGTAGGAAAATGTGTGCAAATTATATTTATCCTCTGTGACATTAACAACTTTATATTGAAAAATGCTTTCTGTCTTAACATATATTATTGTACAGCATTATTGTGAATCAAAAAGATAAATGAAATTACTGGTTCTGCTCCCAGGTGGCAGAATATTGTTACTACTAGAATTTAATCGTCAGTATAAAATAGCTCTATTATTTACACTGATTAATACTCTTCTTCATAATACAATTATAAATAGTAAAACCCCATACATGAAAACCATACTTTTTTAGATACAGTTCTCCTTATTAACAGGTACAGTTGAGGAATAATATGCCGCCCCCACAGTTCTGTGGCCAGTGGAGACATCTGCCATCTCTCATAGAAGTAAACAGGGCACGTAGTTAACTATTTTGAAGGAACAGGGCTACAATCCAAGAAAGGTTCATTCATGCCCTGTTTACTATTAGGAGAGTTGCCGGATATCTCCACAAGACAACGCAGTGTGGGGCAGAACATTATTCCCCAACTGTACATGACAGTTTATGTGGTAGTCTATATGGCTCTAATGAAACAGATTCTAACCTGCCATTTACATGTTCTGCATATAGAGACACAATCACATAGAGGTGTGCAAGTTATCTGCACTCTTGAACAGCCACAGCGGGTTGTACACCTACTAAAAAATTATTCGGCACCGTGTCATATTGTATCACGCCGGAAGGGTGCCGAATATTTATTTAGTGGGTGTACATCCCTTCTGACACCTACATTTAACAAGCTCCTTACAAACCTTAGAAGGCTCTGGTAGCCATGTCTAGAAAGGTCTCCACACAGCATTCTCTTTCACCCATCCGCACTCTGATGGCCAAGGTGTGTCAATATCTGCCACCAAAGCCTGTCCCCATATGTGTCCAGCTTGAAAGCAGGATCTCTTTATATGCTGAGTGAGGGCTTCCTTGGTTGGAGGCAGCATTTTAATGGAATTCCTGCCTTTCCTTGTAAAAAGATCTCTTCTGCAGTCATTAACATTTATTATACAGCTTGTCCTGTCACACAGAATGACAACAAACCTTTCGAGCAGAGCATGAACATTGGCTGATATGCCATTGCCTGGTGATGATATTGCTAGGAATGCAGATGTAACTTCAGGAAATACCTACCATACATCCCAGGCTGATTTTTTGCCCTTCCCA